ACACGACGCTCTTCCGATCTCCCCAAAACCCCAAAACCCCACAAAGATTATTTAAGATTTTTTATGAAAATATCAAATATAAATAAAGAGAGAATTAAATGGATTATAAACATCTTGAAGGAATTTAGACTTACTTTCATAAACAGAATTTGCATCTGTGTAAAAATTCAGATTCAAATTCGTCTAATGACTACAAAATACTTGAAAGAGATACCATTAATTTACTTTCATACAATGTATTCTAAGTACCTAGAGTTGCATCATTGTTTCATCCTGCTCCTCATCCAGAGGAGAGATTACTTGGACTGACCAATATATTAAAAGATTATGATATACTTTGCTTCCAGGAATGCTGGGGATTTTGCTAAGAGAGAAAGGAAAAGATTATACTAATGGCTTAGAAAGCAGGATATTTCTTTTTCAGAGAATCTCCTGCCCCTGGTCTATTAACCTCATTCATAGGCGATGGAGGTTTGCTTATTATGAGCAGGTAAAATGCTTTTTGATTAATAATTTAGATTTGAAATTGTGGACTATGAGTTCATGCCATTTTAGTATGGAGTATTTATAGATGCTCTTACTGAGAGAGGCACTCTTTATGTTAAAATCAAACTGGGTTTGGACAATTATGTGAATATCTTTAATTTGCACACTAATTCCTCAACTGCCTTTCCCTTTCCAAGAATCATGGTAAATTAATAACTTATGGAAGCTTCTTCTATATTGTTTGATGTTACTTTAGAAATAAACAGTTGAATGCAGACAAGACTAGATAAAGCAAATGATCAATTTTGTAGACTCAGTCATTTCAAAGGATAACATGAGAGATGCCAATGCCTCGAACATGTATTTAATTGTAGGGGATTTCAATCTCTCAGCTATCCCTATTGATCAAAAATTGAAAGATATGATCTTGAAATTCAGACCTGATTATGGGTACCTTGTGGATATTTTCGACGGAGAATTCAATCAAATGATGACATATATGACTAAGCAAGATGTATAAATAGAAGTCAACGAAGATACAGATCGCTATGCTAATATATAGTATGCAAACATGAATGTTAGAGACAATGAAAATATACATAAAGTAATTAACTATGGCTATCTGCATAATGACAATTAGCACCCAGGGACAATGGTTGGTGGCCAGCCTGTTTCAAGAGTTAATAAGAGCAAGGGAGGCTTGAACATGAATGGCTAGACTTTTAAGATGTGCATCGACTATATCATTGAGAAGAGAATATTGTTTAATGGTCAAGAAAAATCGGCCAGAGCTCATGTGGTGGAGGGTAGTTGCAAAGTAATCGAATTTTCAAATAATGATTAAAAGTTACCCTATAATAAACTGAGTGATCATTTTGGGTTATGTCTAGAGATAAGAGTTGATTAAGATGAAAATGCTATTGGCTAAAAAACTATTTGAATACATTAATTGTAATTATATTAAGTATATTGTGATCATATTGAGCGGGGTTTTGGGGTTTTGGGGTTTTGGGG